TATTTTTTTTACATTTTTTGCTTGTAATGCATTTTACACATTATACTAACACCAGGAAGGGCTTAACAAAGTCATTTTGGTGTATAAATCATATCCATGAAATCTCCATGGCTCATAATTAAAATTAATAAAATTAGGAAACATAAAAAAATGGGATAATTTTAGTTTGTAGATGGGGTTTATCCCACAATTTTTTCAATATTTTAGGGGAAATTAAAACATTGATCAGATTTTGAAATACAAAAAAAGAAAGGTGTAGCACTGTTACTTTAGTAAAATTATTTTAATTAAGTGCAGTGCTCTAAAGGTACAGCAGCAATGTTTTCATCATGTCTCATCTTTATCTAGCCAACAAAAGAAATACATAATTTGCTTCAATATTCTCTAAATATCCAGAAAGAAAAAATAGCTTTCTAAGAATATAGGGTTTATGAAATACATGATACATGATGCTTGTTTATGTATTTTAAGGAGGACAATAGATGCATTTTGTAGTATTACTCTTAGCAATATAATAATAATAATAATAATAATAATAATAAAACTGTACTTTGATTATAATAGTTATTACTACTTTTAAGTACCCTCCCTTCCAACCCCACACATAGGTTTCATGCTACAATCTTTCAGTGAAATAAGACAGATATCTCAGTACCCACATTCCAAACCTTCTATTAATATAGGATTCTTAACTATTAATAAATAGTCAACAACTTTTTTTTATAATTTACCTTCTAATTTTATGAAACTATTATAAATGTTATTGTTACATGTGTCAATCTTATTATTTTTTTATTTTTTTTGCAGATCCTTATGTGAAAGTGAATCTTTATCATGCTAAGAAACGGATTTCCAAAAAGAAAACTCATGTCAAGAAATGCACTCCAAACGCTGTATTTAATGAACTCTTTGTGTTTGATATACCATGCGAAGGTCTAGAAGACATAAGTGTTGAGTTTCTTGTGATGGATTCAGACAGGGGCTCCAGAAATGAGATTATTGGGCGGTTAATTCTTGGAGCTTCTGCAGATGGAACAGGTGGAGAGCACTGGAAGGAGATCTGTGAACATCCTCGGAGACAAATTGCCAAATGGCACATGCTTTGTGATGGTTAGAATCCTAGACATGATTGGACTTTAAATATATCCCCAAATCCTATTTCTTTGCATTGTAATATAAGACGCTTCAAAATACAATTTTTTGTTATTTCTTTTCTTTTGTGAACAATGATTTAGGAAAAAAGTTGGAAAAACTCAAAACAAAGATAACATAATGATGTTACCTTTATATCTGTATATGAGGAGTGCACAGTGCATACATACTGTGTATAATCAATCTCACTAAATGCAGTGGAATACATTAAACTATGTTAATACTGTTACAAAGCTCTCCAAATGTCATGGGCAATGACTTTGTTATTGTTTATAACATTGAGTGTTCCAATGAAGCTTTAATCTGTCATGTAAACCCACTTTCATAACACTGAAAACATATTCCAAAAAATTGGGAACAACTTGATTTACTTGCATCTCATGCTTTGTTGTTCTTCTTGTGAAAACAATCTGCTGTTTGAAATTGTGATTCTATTAAATTAAACATTTAAGCAAATGCAGAAGAAAAAAACGCAAAGTTATGAAAGGTCTCTGAGAACAGTATTGTGTTCAGTTACTAATATGTCTAAAGCATGCTTGTATGTGTGTAAGGAGTGAATCCACTGGACATTGAAAGTGAGATTCAGGTCATGAACTCAGGTTCTGAAAAACTCCATCTTGAAGGAATTGAGGTTATATATGCAGAACATCTGCTAAAATTCTAAATTAAAATCCCAAGCCATTCTCAGAACAGATAAGAATATTCCAGATTAGAAACAAAATCTTAAATTCGGGATTGAAGTAGGGTAATGGAATGGTAGTAGACTTTTAGGTACAAGTTAAAGATCAGGTTGCAACTTAGAAATCAGAAACATAGCTCAAAAGAAGGTATGTAATTTCAATGTAAACAAAAAAAATAAATTGACTGTTAAAATCAGAAAATAACTGCTAATGGATGATAACTATAGAGTCAATTTCAATATTTTGCCATTTTTACAATAAAGTCAACTTTAGTCACAATATTCAATGATACACAGTTTGAATTGGAAGGACATCATTATAAAAAGTCAGCAAAAAGCTTGAACATGTTTTTTTCCACATAAATTACTATACCTATGTGGGTACATGTGTAATAACACATGGAAAATTGTCCAAAAAGCATTGCATATTCACTACTTCATTATAATTCTCTTGGCCCATAAATTGATGAGGGACATTGTGAAGTAAAGATGAAATACAAAAAAGGCCTTCGTTCTTGCAAAAAAAAATCAAGATTCTAAAAAATACTATTAACTGTATTTGAATATGTTTATCTTGTGATGTGAGATGGTATTGATATATGGTATATAAATGACTCATACATTCGGATATTTATGAGACCCAAATCTTTCAGAATTTCTTGAAGACGATTTGTTTTCTGGTCACGAAAAACAATTTTATACCTTTGTGAAAATACAGATTAAGTAATAGAAGACTTTGGAAAGAGACATGAAAATTAAATTTGTTATATATAAAAAAAATCAACGCAGAGGTATTAAGAGGCTTCCTATTTGAAATATTTTCTCATGAAAAGTCTTGCTTACAGCTATAACAAACTATATCAGTTTGGAAGGGAAAGTGATATCGAAGAAGCTATATGCCTGAATATATTAATTTAGAAGAAGAAAGCGAGCAAGACCAGGTGATCAGGATCTTTCATTCAATTATGGATAAACTGAGCAAGAACAAGACAAGTGTCCAATCTGGCATCCTATATGACCTTAATTAAGTAGTTTTCTAAATATACTGTGAAAATATGGGACACAACAGATGCATTACCAATCCTTTTTGAACACAAAATTGTTTAACATTCTTAGTGGTTGTGGTTTTGACTGCCTGCATTGCAGTCTATAAGTGTACTGGTGTCTATAGAATATAGGTTTAAGAGACTCTTCTGAAGACCTTCACATAAACAAGTGTTTAATGTTTCTACTCTGTGAAGATTCTAAAACAAGTGACAAATGAATTCACAGTTATGGGCTGACATGTTTTTAAAGCAAGCTTATCATTTTAAGTTTTACCGAGCCTTTAGCCTTCTCATTACCATCCATAAGATGCCTTTAGGCAAAGAATTCATCTGTTTATTTTCAGGATACCTTTTGGGCTTATCTTAATATTACCATTATTTTTGAATAGAGCAGTGAATAGTTATAGCTGAGCCTGACATCTACAATGTTAACTAAGAGTAACTGAGTGTGTAAAGAAGTGCAACAAAATGAGACAGGTCAGATACGGTTCTTCCTCCAACTAGGATCAGATAAAAAAAAAGGAATTGTAGAGTAAAAGCCTTGTGAAAATGCCATATTTTGTGATCTTAAATACACTATCATGTTGATAGGTAGAAATGGCCATTTGATTATTAATTACTTTTTGGCAGTTAGACTATACCTTGAAACATTATTATAGAACTATATCAGTCAGCTCAGTCTTGTTACATTCTGAATATATAGATCTGTTCAAGACAGTGGGAACATAAAGAGATCCTTGTTGTATTCTATATAAAACTATTCTTAAAAAAGCAGAAAAAGAAATCATGTGAAAAGATTAGTGCATTTAACAAATACCATTACCTTGAAAACTGCAACATGTTTGTCATTTTACAATTGCACTTTTTGTCCTAGCATTTGGTACTTGTGTAAAATATATTTTTTATTACTTTATGTATTTCTCTATAAAAGCAAGATTGTAATATATCAGAGATAACATTTTGTTCATGGTTTCATGTTCACTAAGACATTTCTTTTTAATTAAGCACACATGAAACAAAGTTATTTCAACTTCTGTTAGTATATTAAAAATGAGTTTAAGATATTGCAACATTTAAGAAAACTGCAAATATTTTTAGGCTTGGTGATGTGCCGCAAAGATAATGTTATGGATTATTGATTTACTAAGCAAATAAAATGAAGCTATCTAATGTATACTCTTTAAATGTTCTAAGTAGTATACCCTCTACAGCACATTGTACTGGTTATGGTGCTGCAGTCTGACAAAAAAGGGTGCGTTCCTGGTGTCTATGCATAGCCCTTTGCCTGCTTGTCTGTTAATGTGGAAGTGAATTTTGAGATTATCCAGTTCAACTTTAGTCTGCAATGACAGTCTGAAAGGACGTGGCTAAACCTACTTCCAAATGGAGCTGTCAAAAAATATTCATAAATCTATAGATTAGTTGTTTTGTTTTTAACTGAAGAAATATCTCAGGATAATTCCCATTGACCTTAAATTTCAAAGCTCAATGATTATCCTCTGGGACTCTGCATAGGACATGTTTTTTCTTCTGGTCCCAGAGGATAATGATATTGTTATAAACTTAGGTTATACCCTGAGCTATTCAAATTGTGACTGACGTCCTCCAAATCACATCCTTCCTGCTATTATCTAGGGCAAAGTTATGCCCTGGTCCCCCCAAATAAGGAATGAACATTAATTTTGGAAACAGTTAGCATAAATTTGGTAGATAATGAGGCAATTTAGAAAATGAATTATCAATTTGCACTAGATTTACTATTTTTGATAATCTATCATATCTGAATGAGGTATAGGGAAGCTAAATGTTTATAAAAAAAAAAAAAAAATAGCTCACAAATACTACAGGAATGCAATCCCAAATAATTCCAGAGTGACTTGCCAATATAAAAAAAATGCTAAGCATCATGGGAAATAAAATACTACAGTGGATGGGATCTACTATTTGGAAGCCACTATTGTAAATATTAAGGATTAGTTAAGAATCCCTTTACATTAATGTACATTAAAGAGAAATGTAGGTAAAGGGAGGTTCATTTGAATAGTGTCATGGGGACAGCACATTCTTTGGCACTCTGGGAGGGATAGTAAGGGATGTGTAGTAATATGATAAGATAAAGGCATCTCTCAGCATAAAAAATAATTTGAATAATGGTAAAATGTACTAATTCTTGCCAGGGAACTGTACATTCACGTGTATGGGTAGTTATGTTTATTGTATTATTATTCAATGCTATGGAACTTGGTACTCTTCATCATGGTGCCCATTGTGTCCATTGGATCCCCAGTGATCCTATTTTAACATTTTAACTTGCTGTGCATGTTTAATAGAAGTAGAGGTCCATAAGGCAGGACCTTCTATGGGCACAGGGTAAGTCATCTGCAGCTGAATAATAATTATTTGTAATTCCCCAACCAATCACATGAGATAGGTGAAGGAACAGGTGGGCAGCTGTGGATTCCGATCTACTCAATTACATTTTCAACTCTGGCACAGCGTTTGGGGAGTAACTAATACTTAATATTTCCCATAACAGTGCACAGGTTTGTAGATTTGGAAGGATCAGATCATTCAATAATGTTTCCAGTCATAGGTCCCTCCAGGGTAATTGGGGTCTGGGGCCTTGTGTTGTTTATTTTTATTATGCACTATTTGCTCACAGATGTCTTGAACAGTTTGGAGGATATTTGTAAATTATTGGAGTTTGGTAAATCTCCGAATGCATACTACGTGTGACCATTTGTTTTTCAATTTATTAGCAGATTACTCAGTGCATTGTGAGTATATACTATAGTGTGTCTTTGACTCATTGATTGTGTTTGGTGTATATACAATTAGTAGTCCAATAGAAAATATGTGAATTGCCACCAACTATTGATAAACCAGTCTGTTTGGATTTCCAAAAATCAGATAGAAAAAGCATATTATACTTGTACTTGGCCTATATCAATAGAAGATATTATGTTATAGAATTTGCAAAATATAATGTGCATCAATATCATTATATTTTTTACTTTGCTTTTACTTTCACTGACAGGCACTACTTTAAAACATAATTTGATACAGTACGCAAGTAATGTTTTTAGTCCCATATTAAGTACATTATAGTGCATTTTGTTGGTGAAAATGATTGAAAGAGCACAAGTGAATAAATATGCCTTTACGGATGTTTGATCTACTGTTCAGATGCAGGTGTTTACTGTTCAAGTGGTATGTGAAACAATCTGTTTGACTATAA